CCAGCATTAAGTTCGTCGGTACCCATTTATACACCTGGGTTGAGAGAGGCACTGTGAGAGTAAAATGTCTTGCCCAAGAACACAACGTAATGTCCCTGGCCAGGGCTTCAACCCGGACCGCTCGATCCGGAGACGAGCGCACTAACCATGAGGCCACCGCGCCTCCCTCGTAAACGGTATCGGTAAACGTAATTCCTATGCGTGTGCTATCTGTTTTATTCTCTGGAGCGGAACTTATGGTTCAATCACTTGCTTATCATTTTGTAATTTAGAACGACCAGTCACTAACATAAAATGGTTGCATGGGTCCATATGTATGTCTTGAGACGTCATAAAATGGCGGGTTCGCGAAGCGGGTGTACCTTTGTCGAATGGCGAGGTTACACCTGACGTTGCTAGCCCGTTGCAGCACGCAAAAATGATAAACATACTATTTATCCTATATTTAATCGCTTTTTTTTTGTTATACCTAAAATATATTGGTGTACAATATAACAGAAACCGAAAAAGTATTGGTCCCCATATACTTCTTCTCTTTTGCTTTTCTGTCGAAAAATATACGATTAATCATTTTATTTAAATTTAGAAAGCCACTTGCATAAAATGTCTGATCATTTCGCTACATCTTTTAATTATGATCATTATTATTCCTAATGAAACACACCGCAGTTTGAACTTTATGACCTTCGCTATGTCTGCCAAGTAAATTGTCAAACCAAGAATTATTTAGGATAGTCCCTTTTGAATTTTAGCTCATATGATTCACGGTTACCATTGCTTGGTCACTGATCTTAGTCCAATCCCTAACGATTGCAATGATTGTTGTTTACTCCAGTTCTGTATTAGTGTCGTACCCTCGAGGCTAAACTGCTTCAACCGTGAAATAATCCTATATTTTGGAGACACCTTAAATTATTCAGCTGTTTTTACAACTGAATTCAACTTAAATTTGGCCGTTTTAACAACTGAAGAATGTTGAAAAAGCCCTGTATGTTTGAGGCCATCGCAAGCAGATTGTGAATTGCTAAAAAGGCTGATCATAATTTACCACTACGGTACAAGATTAATTCTAGTGTCAGACACAGTCCAATTCACAGTTTGGCAGCAACTTCAGTTAAAATGTTTGGCTTTCCAGTCAAACAGCACCTTCGAGTTTCCTAGTAGGAAAAGCAAAATCTCAGTCACAAGCAGTTGGTCCATATTTTCTTAAGGTTTCGTTTTTACGAAGTCCTTGAATGGTTTTACGATTCATCGGTTTATTGTATTCTAATTCCTGTCTAACTTCCGGCCTCGTTAATCTTTGATCAATTAAGTCCAAATGAGGTTTTACGTGTCGTGACATGCCCCAAGGACGCACATAAACATGAAAGGAGTCGAGGATACCAGATTTGCCCAGAACTCCAGGCTAAGTACCCTCAAAATGTAGAGAAAATAGGTTTTTAGGCATTAGTACGTACTAACGGTTTGAGCTTATTGGCAATTTATTAAGCGACACCGATTTCATTGTTTTGTACCGGACATTTGATTGGCTGGATTCGAAAATGTTGGAATCTTTTGTTTCAGTTTCTGCCTTCTGATTGGTTTTCATTGTCTGAGTGGCCCCGGTTTCAGTAAACGCACTGTATCGCTGGAATCTAACTCGGTGCTGTTTATCAACATTTCATGCTTCATTTGATAGCTCGACTGCCGGACAACAAAGCATTTTGTTAACCCTAACATATAGCTACCCATAACTCTCAATCCGAAACGTCGCAGGTCCTCCTTGTTATGAAGGCGAGGAAACTCAAGTGGTACAGTCCTTTGCTACTTCTTTTTGGAGCCATTTTAAGTTTTGCTGACCCTTTGACAGACATACTCACGCTGGTGAAATTTTACCTCGCGGATCAAAAGATATGGTTTGTCGTGGGGCTTACTTTTGTCATTTTGCCCTGTCTGGTGTTCCCAATAATATACACTGTCTTTAAGGATCGGGATCTATCACAATACAGCGATTCTAGAAAATGTGCGCAAGTTTTTCTTTGTGGTTTCCATCCGTTTTCGTGTGCTTTGGTGAGACTGCAGGGCTTTGTTTACTTCTTGAAGAAATGGCTGAGGAGCAGCGAAATCGTGCCTGCAGGCATCACCTTAGCGAACAGTGTTGATGCTGACGATCTTGTGACCCACATCGATTTTGCTGTGCTCTTTGAGTCAGTTGTAGAATCAGCCCCTCAGTTTATAATTCAGCTGTACGCCGCGAGTGTTCAAGAGGAACCGGTGGAGGTTATTCAAATAATTTCCTTACCTGTCTCTTTCCTGAGTTTAACTTGGGCCTTCACAATCGCTGATGAGATCATCCACGAAGGACATATCATCCCCTTGAAGATAAGACACAAACTTGCGCTTTTTGTGACTCATTCCTTTCTTTTGAGCAGTCGGTTGTTTGCTATCTGTTACTTTGCCGTCGGCTACAAGTGGCTAGTTCTGGTCGTCTTGTCGTTTCACACTTTAGTGATTGTGGTGGCAGACAACATTCGGTATTGCCAAAAAGGCAGTTACTGGGTCCATTTCGGATTTGGATCAGTCTTCTTCGTCTGCGTCCACTGGCTAAGAGATGACCTCGCAGGACAGCAAGCTGAAGATGATGACTTCGACACAGAAAACAGGAAGAGCAGAGTATTAAGAATGCAGCTGTTTTCTAATGTACTGTTCGTCTTAGAAAACCTGATGATGATTATGCTGTTCTATTTTAGCGAACGGTCCAACACGTGGTACTCGTTACCAGTAACAGTCTGCGTGTGTTTGTTGGGTGTTATGGGAGCGGTGATCAGAATAACTCTCTTCAAATTTCTTCTCCTACTCAGTAACAGTGACAGATATAGTGACATTGAAAATGACAGTAACTGCAATGAAACTCCAGAGTTAAACAACGATGATAATTCGCCAGATTCAAAATAACGGGAAATTAAGAGAACTCGTTCTGTTTACACATTCATGCAGAATAAAGTAGAGCTAAGTAGAATCTTGAAGAGTGACTTTTCGTAAATAGTAAAATATGACCCATTCAACTTTGTTTACTTTGCATTAGGGGATGCACGCCAGGGTTACGGTTGAAATCGAAGATAACATGTCGCGTAAATAACGATTGTGTTGTTTCTATCGTAAGTTCAAAATCTGCGGCGATAAAACACACTGAAATTATGACCGAATCGTACTAGAATTGCACCCAATTTACACGCGCGATTTGGAAATGCTAGCAAATTGAAGCCAAATACTTTCCTGAGTAGTGATTAGGGTTCTTAGGCAATGACGACAACGACGCCCAGCAAGAAATGATTTTTATTTTACTTTGGAATATCGCAATTATCTTGATCTGTAGAGTACTACGATTACTTAAAAAAAAAACCTGCGTTCAACTCCGAAAGGAAATACCAAAAATTAGCCGTCCTGGCTACCTTTCTAAATGATAACTCTCTTTGTTTGGTTACGTAAACCATATCGTTGCCATTGCCGTTAACGTTACCGTTGCCATTGCCGTCAACGCCATAGACTGTTCCCAGCCTCTCTATTTTACGCACGCGAAAGAAAAAGCGAGCGAAGCGAGTGCGAAGCACGCGGGGGTGGGGGTGGGGTTTGCGAGCGAAGCGAGCAAGAAGGCTCTATTATTCTCGGTCCCCACCCCCTACCCAGTCAAGTCTTCCGTTTTGCGCTGGCGTCCAGTTTTCTTGCGATTCTATCCGCGAGTACGATCAAATAAAAATACCAGAAAGTAGAGGGCTGTGAACAGTCTATCAGCGCGACCATTGCCGTTACTGTTAACGTAACCGTTACTGTTACCGTTACCATCGCAGTTTCTTGAGCCCCCTAAAGATGTTATAGCCCTATTATCACAATGCGCCGCATGGGGTTGTTCAAATATTTCCACTCCAAGCACCAGACCAACAACTTCGCCTGAACCACAAATTTTTATTTTTACGTAAAATTTGTCACAAGAACATGGTGTAGATTAATCTTGCGAGCACATGCTATTCAAGGTTATCTTCTCTGGATTTTATTCATCTTTCGTTTACCGGCAAACATGTGTTTGGGCATTTTCGTGGCGATCTTTCTGTCTGCTTCTCCTGTGAAATTAAAAATACAAAGATGAAAGTCAATGCAATTTCAATATAATTTCCTTCAAATCGGAACTTGCTAAAGGATTTATCTAAGTTCCTCCTCTTACGCCAGGATGCCAAAACGCAACAAAGTTGTTTCGAAAGAAATAACGCTGCAGGTACAAAAGGGCAAAACTAACAAAATATGTCACAATTATTTACCAAAGTGGGGGTAAATATCCAACCACTTACACCGACAATGAGGTGAATACTTGTTTTAGTATATACCACACAAGCAGAATAACTAGCGGGAAAATAATCCTCTTCGAATCGAAGCCATTTTGTTTCTCTTCGGCTGCTAGGAGGTAAATACTACTTCGCTAGTCATCTGCGAGTTAACCAATCAGAATGCGCGAAAAGCACTATTCACTTAACTTTTGTCTCTCATTGGTGACTATCGTTCTCAAGGTAAGACACATCGTTTTTGCCCCCCAAAATCATCAAAAGAACTTTTTTTTTTCAGGTAACTGGCACAAAATTGGTCAAATCTGATGCCGAACATCCATCGGCGACAATTTTCATGTTTACTGGCAACAATTCCCCTGTCCTTGACAAGAACTTCAATGTCATTCTTTTCCAAGCATCATAGCATGTGAACTCTCAACATGGACATGATTGTCAGATGAGCGCAGACAATAGCAATTATAATAGTTAAAAAAAAAAAACAAAAAAAAAACATCTTACCTGCTTTGCCCATGCGGTTGATGCCTCTCTGAACAACCTTGGACAGTTTCTTCGCTTTCTTCTTTTTCTGAGAAGCAAATGAAAAGCAGAAAAGCATGTATACAAATACCAACACTCCGAATACCAATTCGACCAGGATAGAGGAACCCAATGAAAAACAGCCAAGGCTGATGTGGCTTCCTCTCTAAATATTGTAATTTATTTTGTTGACCAGAAGACACCTGTTGTACTGCTTCCAAAAATAAGTTCTAGAGCTGCTAAGTTATATAATCAACAAAAACACGCAGAGAGGCAGCTGGCCGAAATAACTAATCTTCAAACCACCTTAATTCTAGACTACAAGCCCATAACAAGGAGGAATGCATAACATTTTGCGCACTTAAAATCGAGTTCCGAGTTAGTAAGGATGATAGCTAAGTTGATATCTGCGACATTGCAACATACTGTAACTGAAGATAAAGGGTAAAATTGAACAACAGAGGTGAGTTAAGAAAATTGTTGGCACCCTGCTTTCCAATACACCCACCTCAGGAGAGCCTATGCCTGACTGGTCACGTGGTGGCCGCGACAAGCTGCGCGCGCCGCTGCTCGTTGCTCTCTTTCTCTTCCGGCTCATTGGAGTCTGGGAACGGGCTCTTTTCGCTTCTTCGTCACCCTGAAAATAAGCCAGTCAAGACAATCATGATGTTCAATTCTTATAAGATTACTACATAGAAAAACAACAGAAGCAATAAACAAGCAAGCAAACAAACAAACAAGTGGAATAATACAGACCTCTTCAATGCCTTCCATTTCTTCTCCCAAATCTTCTGTCTGGTTTCTCCGGCTACGCGCGGCTTGAGCCTAAAATTCGAGGAAACGTAAACAGTTTAAACAACTACAGGACATCTAGAGCGCTTTCCATTTACATGGAAATACAGGTGAGAAATTTCGTCAACTGCAACAGTACTTCAGTTTTCAACAAACAAAATGAGACGGAAGGAGTGTGCAAAATTTGAATTGACAGCATTTGGAAATCTTTCAGTGGAAACGATAGTAATATTTCATTCCCCCGCGAAACAACTGCGCATTTTTATCAAGGAACACTAATTTCCCGCATATGCCAACAGGCCATTCGCTTCTATTGTATTATCAGCCTAACTGTCAACAGCAAATAAGTAACACACCAAACGAAGTTTGAACTGGATCAANTGCGACCCACCTTCATGATGTCTGGATCAATGAAGTCAGCCACGTTCTTCCCGAGGTAGATCTCGGGTATAATGTCTTGCTTTTCGTCGTTCTTTGTCAAATCCCAATGTTGTCTCAGGTCCATGTAATAATCTTCACCCAGTTCATTTTCAAGATCCTTAGCCAGTTTTCTCTTTGGCTCGGCTCCCTCCACTGACATGGCTTGTCGCTTGTCTAACACAGCCTGTGTTTTAAAAAGGAAACAGAGATTAATGTACCTCATAGTTGAGATTTTAAAGGGAATGTTCTAATTGGAACAGAAACAAGATCTAGTACATTGTATTACTGTACAAGCAAGGTCGCTGCGGAGGCAATGATTCATTAAGAAAACCTTTAGGTAACTTTAGTACCAGAACGACTGATACAGTTAAATATGGTATTACTTAACAGTGATGCAGAGTCAATGTATTCATAAGTAAGTTCAGTTACATTTATTTAACAGTACCTGAGGTATGCATGGTGGTCTCTCCTTCTGGTCTCGCAGTGTTGGCATGGCAACATGAAGTCTGTTCATGACATCCTTAGCTTTCTTGCTCTTCATTTTAACTTCAACTCTCTGAGCTAAAAGCTGATCACAGGCTTCAGTCTTGACAGTCATCACGCCTTCTTCACTGACTGTGCTCATCGGAAGAAGTGTTACTCCTAAATGCACATGTACAATTAGATTGATCAACATTTTATTTGTGATACGTCTTGCAATTATGGATCAGGTACAGTGGTGGCCTCATGTTTAGTGCACTCAACTCCAGATCAAGCATTCTGGGACTGAGCCCTTGCTGGGGACATGTGTTACAGTATGTTCTTGGGCAAGACACTTTACTCTCACCGTGCCTCTACCCATCCAGGTGTATAAATGGGTGCCAGCAAATTGAATGCTGCTGCTTTTTCCTTACTTTGGACTAGTATTCCATCCAGGGAGTAGCAGAAATACTCCTTGTCACTTCATGCCACAGAAAGTGAAGATAAGTGCCAGCCTGATGGGCCACTTGGCTAGTATGCAGACTTAATGGGTCCCTATGTATACCAGCTTTTGAGCTGAACTGGCTACCCTGTTTAAATAGAGTTTTACTTTATTTTACTTACATGTAATCTTCACTGTATGTCTTGCAATTAATTTATTCTCGGAACCAATGAATTCAATATACAGTGAGAATCAATCTTACACTTACCGTCTTGATCAAAAGCTTTGAGTAGCTCTCGCTTTTCTTCAGACAGTTCCTCAGGTCTTACCACATCTACTTTGTTCATCACAACAAGCAGTGGTTTGTTAGCAAAGAGAGGTTTGATGCCATTAAACAGCTCAATCTGTTCCTCAAGCGTGTGTCCACACTGCTCAGAAATATCCATGATGTAAAGAATGGCTGCTCTGAGATGTGCAAGAGCTGTGATGGCCTGCAGAAATTAAATTTCTTTACAGTTAGTAATTGCATTTAAACACCAAATTATAGCTACATCTGTACTGCAATTTAATGTAATTAATGGCACCAACACAGAAAAACTTAAGAGTAAATCACCTAGCCACTATTGCAAGGCTTGAAAAAAATGTCGTCCGGTTGTCCTGGACAAGTACATGTACATTTTCCTTCTGGGCAAGTAACATTTCATTCTCACTTAAGGGATCAGGCAAGTCGTCTGCCAACTAAATCATTAAAAAGAGCAGGCTAAGACTTCCCAGGNCTCGGAACCAATGAATTCAATATACAGTGAGAATCAATCTTACACTTACCGTCTTGATCAAAAGCTTTGAGTAGCTCTCGCTTTTCTTCAGACAGTTCCTCGGGTCTTATCACATCTACTTTGTTCACCACAACAAGCAGTGGTTTGTTAGCAAAGAGAGGTTTGATGTCATTAAACAGCTCAATCTGTTCCTCAAGCGTGTGTCCACACTGCTCAGAAATATCCATAATGTAAAGAATGGCTGCTCTGAGATGTGCAAGAGCTGTGATGGCCTGCAGAAATTACATTTCTTTACAGTTAGTAATTGCATTTAAACACCAAATTATAGCTACATCTGTACTGTAATTTAATGCAATTAATAGCACCAACACAGAAGAACTTAGAGTAAATCACCTAGCCACTGTTGCAGGGCTTGAAAAAAATGTTGTCCGGTTGTCCTGGACAAGTGCATGTACATTTTCCTTCTAGGCAAGTAACATTTCATTCTCACTTAAGGGATCAGGCAAGTCGTCTGCCAACTAAATCATTAAAAAGAGCAGGCTAAGACTTCCCAGGGTGAGCATTATTAGAGAGATAATTGTCCTAACGGCAAGCTGGAATTCAAGATTTTTATTTCCGAGTCCTGCGCTGGTATAAAATTATTAATAATGTAAATGTAAGCTACAGAGGGGCAAGCTAACTTAAATCTTGAACATACAATGTATACAACAGCTGTAATCAGATCTCTCCTAGCATTATGGGCAGTTTAATAGTTCCCAGAGAAAACAGTTCATAAAATCTCTATAATTTTTAAATATGGACATCTCCACAGCAGACACTCAACTCTACTTTACTTGCGTACATATAAATGAGGTTCAATAGTAACTTTGCATACGGTTTACATGTAGTTCTGGGGCAATTTAATTCTGGGCAAAGACCAACAAGTATAGGGTCATTGTGGAAAAAGATGCAGTTTACACTACAGTTTATATTCTAACCTGCATTTCTATGGTATTTCGTTCTTCTAGTGAGTGATCAAGGATTCCTGGAGTGTCCACTACCTGCAAAGTACACGAAAAAACTTTTGTTTTTAGTAATAGAAAAATAACATTTTAACGAAATTTACAGATATCATCAGTACGAGGAGAGGAAAAATAGCTGGCATCAATTTGGAAAGTTGATTCAGTTTTAAGCTGACCTGCCATCTGAGGTATTTGTAGTCCATGTGACCAACAAACAGAGACTTGGTTGTGAAAGCATATGGTTGGACCTCGACATCTGCTCTTGTCACCTTGTAAAATAAAATGCATATTAATTAATAACCCACAGTTCTCATTAATTTAGGGTGTAGAGGGCTACATGTACACGTAGTTATGAAATTAGGAGGCTCTGAACTGTTGTTTGCAATGCAAGATTCAATCATGTTCCAAAACCCTCTGTGTTTTCCCTAAGTTACATGTAACCTTTACAACTTACAGTAAACATGTATTATTTTGTGAAAAGTAGGCACCTCAAATATCGAAGTACTTAGCCATTTTCTTAGCCAGTGGGTGGCACTTAATGAGAACCTTATAATACATCAATACNACAGCTGGTCAATTTTCCATGTTGCTAGCCCTCTCATTGAAACCCCTGTTAATTACTTGTGATGATCAATGCAAATACACGTACATGTAACATTTGAATCCAAACTTTCTGCTATACAATAATAACTTCAGTAATTTAAAATTTTACTTTGCGACTGTCTCACCTTGTTCTAAGTATTGCAAACTCTGATTTTGCCTTTTCATTATTGTACACATTCTGAAAGAATTGACAGATGATTATGTATTCATATGTACGCTCTACATGACTGTATATCTCTATGTTAATTAACATGACTTGTGCATTGTACATTTAGTTGTAATTATAATATTATGCCTACACGGGACTATGCAGCATTTGTTATCCAAATGACATGTGTACTGTAGTAAGACGGATCAACAGTACTGTATCTACATGTAAATGTGTAGATCCTTGGAAACAGTATTTCGTCAATTAAGTGTCTTGAGTGTGTACATGTAGGTACATGTACATATAAGTCTTCCAAAGACCAGAGTCTGCGATACAGTGAAATAACAAGGAATGTCAACGTATAAGATTAACAAGGACCAATACAGTCAGTATGCACACGTACATGTGGTTTGTACATACCTCCCTAGAGCTGCTCGTTTTAACTGTTTACATCTGTACAATNTAACATGACTTGTGCATTGTACATTTAGTTGTAATTATAATAATTATTACGCCTACACGGGACTATGCAGCATTTGTTATCCAAATGACATGTGTACTGTAATAAGACGGATCAACAGTACTGCTGTATCTACACATGTATCTGTACATGTGTAGATCCTTGGAAACAGTATTTCCTGAATTAAGTTTCTGAGTGTGTACATGTAGTTACATGTACATATAAGTCTTCCAAAGACCACAGCCTGCGATATAGTGAAATAACAAGGAATGTCAACTTATAAGATTAACAAGGATCAACAGAGTCAGTGTGCACATGTACATGTGGTTCGTACATACCTTCCTAGAGCTGCTCGTTTTAACTGTTTACATCTGTACAATGAGTCACCATACTTCATGAGCCTCACATAATCCTTTGCAACGCTGTGAAAACATATGTATACATGAACATGTAGTCGATTCATCAAATTGTACTCTACAATGTATGTACAGTCTACATGTTACAACGACATCCTGTACATTCATGCAACCAAGTTTCAACCAACTCTCTGAAAACAGACAACTTCCTAATGTGGACATACTGTACATGCAGTTGGCAGGGTGATCCTGGCTGAATTTCACTTGTTTCTCAAATTACCCAAAAAGCTCCTAAAGGTAGACACACCTCTAAAGCAGAAAACAAGGTGAAGAATTAAGTGATATTTTGTAGAGGTGCCTTTACTTGCACCTTTAAGTAAATTCTAAGGCAAGAGATTTATGGAAATGTCCATCAGACTGCACTGGCTGCAAAGTACATATATTATACATGTACACTATGTAAACAACATAATTTTGTAAACAGTGACCTTACTTGTCAATCAAATGCCTCGCAGTGTTAATTTGCCCTAAGGCCAGCTTATAATGATCCTTATCATAGAGCACATTCATCAAATCGGCATAGAATGGATGGATATCCTGGGGAAAACAATTTCCAAAAAAATCAACCTTACAAAAAAAAATTCAGTTCTAAAACATCGGTTACTGCTGTTTTCTTGCCTGTGAACATGTATTGTTATAAAAGATATTGTACACAGTGCAGTACCATAAGTTACCTAAATAATGGAAAAAACATTAAAGGGACTCGTTACTGACAGTATTTTAGCTGCTTACTTTGGTTACAATTGTAGCTGTGAGCTCTAAACTACAAATTGTCAGAGCAGCAGTCTCATGTATCTGGGTAAAATCACGGCCACATAATAAACAAACAAGGATGATATCTGAGCATGAATTATAAAATTAGTGGAATTGAAATAAACTGAGATAAACTGAGCTAAACTTGAAAATGTTGACCTGACATTTTTCAAGTTTGCTTGAATACAATCTATTTTAATTGTCTCCAATTTTCCTCATCCATGCCTGTTTTTTGGCCTGGTGTGTTTCTTTTACTGTATGTCTTCTGCAGTTTTATTCCATTAATGTGATATTTGATGTGTTTATTCCACGACCAGTTCATCAACTCTTATTTTGCCTAAAATTGCATGACCTGGCCCCCTAAATCTTGAAATCATACACTGTACCTCCAGCCTTGGGAAATCTGTGATAATCTGAGTCAGTTTGTCATGATAATTCTGTTGGGTGAATTTGATCTTCCGCATGTAAAAACCACGAATCCGGCTTATCTTGTAGTGTCTGGTGAAAAGAAAGAACTTCAAGTCAGTCTAAATCAAAGTTAAATAAGACTACATAATATACTGCACATGGTTTCTGTATTTCTTCATGGGTTTCAGTATGTGCAAAACTTCTTTTCAGTGTTTGGAAACAGGGTCGGGCATGGCTACCTGTGTGTGATATCCTACATTGAACATTTTACAGTGTACATACTCTATGCAACAAAGAAAGAACACCCACGCAGTGGCAGTCTAGTTCCTCCTAGAGGCAAAGATCCTTGTGGTTTCCACCAAGAATCAGGACCCCAAGAAGGCGACCATGTTCAGAGACAATTCTTGGCTTTCGACACAATACAGAGTTAAAATTGAATCAGATGCAAGTGACGGTAACCGAAAACATGCGTGGCGAGAGAAAGCGAAAGTAGTATACAAGTATACAAGTAGGAACAGGAAAGAAAATGAGTATTCTTTACATCTGCATGTACAGTCTTTCAGCACCTTTAATGCAAAAGCAAGCCAATTAGTTTGTCATGACAGCTTATCACAACCTTACCACAAAAGCAAACTGAAACTACAGTTCCATGGTAATAGATGTCCAACAGTAGCAATTAAATGAAAGAATGAAAGATGCGAATGCAGCAATAACACTACTGGAAAAATGACCCGAAAAAATTTCAGGCTCTGAGCTGTATTCGAACCAACGACCTTTACGTTACCGGTGCAACGCTCTACCAACTGCGCTATCAAAGCCACATGAGAGCAGTCGTGTGGCTCTCATTTGGCTTTGATAGCTCAGTTGGTAGAGCATCGCACCGGTAACGCAAAGGTCGTGGGTTCGAATCCCGTTCAGAGCCTGAAATTTTTTCAGGTCATTTTTCCAGTAGTATTATGGCTGCATTCGCATCTTTCATTCTTTCATGAAACTACAGTACTGTTGAGACACAGGCAATTGTTAACGTCGATTAATTTTCCAGTTGGCTTCCTATACAGATTATCAATAAGTATATGACAGTATGACTAAAGATCTACATTTCGTACGTGTCGACTCGATTTATAAATCGAAAGCCCTCAACGTTTGATGATGTAACGTTAAGCTTACATTAATTACTATTATATTTTAGTTTGTTCTTATATATTCCTAAGATAATACTCATATTGCACAATCATATAGTTACCCTAGTAGTCACAATCGTATAGATTCTCACGACTTGTAACCGAAGAGTACAAACAGCTGAGTCAAATAAACAACTTACCGATGAATTACCGTCGGAGTTTTCCGTTGAGTTCTCGAAAGAACGATGTCGACAAAGTCCTGAAGCAGCGATCACTTTCATTAGTACCTTATAAACACTAACAGCTGATAAAATTCTCTTTTGATCCTCACCTTTGCCGAAGGCACAACCGTAATCTTCTTGAAGTTGTAGTGCGCCGCCATGATGGAATCGGACGCACGTGAAAAGAACGAGTTTGAACACGTTGCGTAATATAACCGCTGACCAAAAGGCCTGAAAAAGCAGTTCTGTAGGTCTGCAGTTCGTACACATTCTGAACGAAGTCGATTAGTATGAAGACATGATTGATCATCACAGTGTATACACACAACTTAAGCAGTTGTGAAATTAAAGCCTGAAAAAAAAATAATCAGACCTGAACGGGATTCGGAGGCCCATGACCTCTGCGATACCGGTGCAGTGCCCTACCAACTGAGCTATCAAGCCATCTGGGAGCTGGTCACTCAGTTGTGAGTTCATAATATACCCGTAGATGGTGAAGAATACAAGTGACTGATATGAAATTATATCACATATTTGGACTGTGGAGAAAGATATAAAGACATGATTGATCATCGCAGTTATGCACACAACTTAAAGCAGTTGTGAAATTAAGAAGAATACAAAAGCAGAAACCGACACAACGTAGGATGATTTTTTGAAGGTGTATTATATTTCGGCTGAAAAAAAATTCAGGCCTGGAGTCGATTAGTTTCTGGCTATATTCTATTCTTTATTCTCCATCCTCTAAACTCTTCAGCAGCTCTTCAACTGGTGTGTGATTTATTTCTGTGTATTACCGTCTGTTCTCATCATGTAACGCGTAAATTTGTTCAGCTTATCATTTAGTGTTCTTTTTTTGATCATGTGTTCTGATCACCTGTTTCAGTTCGCCTCAACGTGAAGATTCCATGCATCTTGACCTTTGAGCTGGTACTATTTTGCTCGAAAACCTAGTTGAAGAGGCGCTGCAAATTAACTAACTCTAAACTAAAAATACTGGCACCTTGCAAAGCTTGACGTCGGGTGCAATTTGGGGTGGTCGGAGGAAGGAAAGGTTTGGGGTAATGTCAATGGTCTGCATGATTTTTTTTTTCAGGCACTAGAAATCTAAAACTCTATCCCGCCTTCATCGTCGACTTGATCAACAAAATAGAAAAATCAGAATAAAATATTTTCAATTTCATCGGGATAGTCTCAGAGCCCACCAATGTTAGACTAAGTTTGGTTAGTTGTATTTATCGTGCTCCTCATACCACATGTCTGTCACTTTTCTCCCTGTAAGTTGTGCCCCTACGAAAATAACAAAGGGAACCGAAAATCTGTTTAATTTTACAATGACTTAATCTCGAGCCTAGATCTACCACAGCCAAGGAAAAGGGAGGTTCAAACAGACTGAGATCTACGTACGAGAAAAATAATAACTCGGATAAACTATATTTGGTAACAGTCCTTTGAAGAAAAGCAAGTCTTTTTATTGGAAGTAATGACTTAACTATACAGCAAATTAATCCAAGGAGATCTGAAATAATGTGATCGAAGCGTGATCAAAGCCAGTTTTAAAGCGGTAGCCAGTTTGGCTATATAGCGTCTCGACGCGGTCAAGTAGTGGCTATACAACATGTAGTGTAACTCTCAACTTACACTAAAAAGAAATTTTTGAATAACGTCATTTAGATTCGTAGCCAGCATAGCTAGCGAGATTTCCCTAACGAATCGAATGTCAAGCAAGAAATTCTACCATCTACGCAGGATATTCGATTGTAAAAGAATTGTTCTCGTAGTTTTAGTAGCGCCAGCCTCCTAAACAATATAAGAGGAAGTGTCGTTTAATTTGAGCTAAAAATATCCCTGACAAGTTACGTGACAATATCAGGAGTGATAGGCTGGTGACAATATATAAGCTGGCCCAGAAAATATATTTAAGTTAAGATTGCCGAATTTCTTGCTTATAATGATATCCCAAGGTTATAATGTATTATTTAAAATGCTTAAAAAAAGTTAGACCCCCTTCACCTTTTTAATGACACGTTCTCAAAGCCAGGCCTTAATTTTCTTGTAGTCCGAAGTAAGGTTAACATTCCAAACTTCAGCGTGGACTGTGAAGTCGCGGTAACTTATAACCCAATATAAGCTTATAACCTTCAAGAATACCTCACTACCGTGTTCTTACCGGACATATAAGCGATGTTCTCTCCGTAGTCGTTGGAGCTGCTGGGCTGTATAGTGTTCCTACTCGCCAAGTCTTCTGCCCAGCTTTGAGCTTCTGACGCCAGTTTGGAATTCCACTTGAGAGAAGTCGCACCGTGTTGAGCGCGGATTTCGTTGTGTGACTTGAGCATTTCATTTTTGAATTCTCTGGCACTCTCTAATTTGTTTAAAAAAAAAGAGAAAAAAAAAAGGGAAAACAGAAATGAAGGTAAATAAAAATGTTTCACTGTAGTTGGTAAGTTTATATTTTCACCCGTGTCAATTCAAACAACTATTGGGTAGTGGGGATGGCCTAATGGTCAGTGCGCAAGAATCGATCCGGAGCGAGCGGTCCTGGTTCGAGCCCTTGCCGAGGACAATGTGTTGTGTTCTTTGACAACACGCTTTGTTAAAAAGCAACAAACTACCGAAACCAATCTTTTCCTTCGTTTTGAAATTGCTAAGCTTTTATTTTTGGCTGCAAACTTCTAGTTGAAAATAGTTCAATCAATCAAAACAAAATTTTCTTCAGTCAGTCCGGCACTCAAAAAACCAAAACCGTGGATTGGGTCAACGGCTAACGCATAACACCTTTTCCCCACTTGTTAACTTTTCTTCTCCGTACTTAGGCTAGGGCTGTCCATCGCCGACATTACGAAAACAGAAAGCGCAAGGATAACCTAATAAAGACGTATTTACGCTTTTGCAGCGGTTAAAACGGAAGAAATTACGTTTAGAAACACCTTTTGTCCTGATAAGCGTCTGTGCTTTTTAGCGGGAAAATCCCATCTTACGTTGCTGCGAGGTTGACTGTGAGATACTGGGTACCCTTTTTGCTACGATTTGCCACTATTTGCCACTATT